TACAAATAATAATCTTTACAATTAAAAAAAGTAAGATTAAAACTTTTTAATTAATATCTTAATATTTTGAACTTATTTTATAATAATTTAAATCCAACTGTTAATGCGTGATACATATCAATTTCTTAAATATAACACATATATCAGCAACTTTCTATCCCTTAAATAAAAAAAAATATAATATAAACTATTGACTTATTAATGAAATATTAAATTTTTTTATCAAAACACCATGGTAATAAATCCCTTTATAAATAAAAATTTCTAAATAAAAATTACGTTGTGTACAATACTTTACTTAGATAAAATTATTAAATATTCATATAATTTTATATTTAGCCAACATAAATATGAGATGATATCATTATATTTTTAAAATCCTTATAAATTAAGTTAAATTATTTATGATTTCTAAGTAATAATGCATAAAGTAAAAGTTCACGTATATAGCAAAGCCCTTGGAGTGCAATAAGAATCAGTAATACGAGCACGTGGTAAAATGTAATTTGTTATTTATGTTCAATGTAAATCGTTTCCAAGTCACGTTGGAAAGAAAATCATGCCATTCCTGCAACGTACAATTCTATCCGATTTAACTTATCTTTTTCCGTAAAAGTCAAAATCGACTAAGTTTTCAAGCTCTCTGCAAATAGTACATTTAAATAGATTTACTAGATTCTGCGTGAGTAATAAATTTTTTTTAAAAATTGTATACATAATAGTTGTTTATGGTTGTCTATTTATCAGTAATTTTATAAACAAAAATTATTCTGAATTTTGTATTATATTAGAAAAAAAATTTCAGATATATAAAAGTTTTAAATATGAATAAAAATTAATACAAACGCACAATATAAAATTTTTGTTTATTAAATTTATAGCCATTTATTGAATATTTATATTTATTTAATATTTACTCGATAACGAACTACATTGCTATTCACAAAAAAGATTTTGGTTTATATATATATAATGCAATATTCAATTTTTTATTATATAAAATGATTATAATTCCAAAAATACGAAGATAAAATAACTCAATTTTTATTAATAGATTACAATTTAGTTTTTCCATAATTATCTTATTATCTTCACTTTTAAAAATTTTTTTATATAAAATTAGTTGGTATAAAATAGAAAAAAATGAAATTTAAAGCGAATATTCATGTGTAATGCATCAAATTATGATAAATGTTATTTGTTCTACATACGAATCTATACACTATAGAATATGTAGATTAAAGATTTTGCTAATTATATGATGACATTTACATGGAATTTTCAAATATATATATATATATATATTTATTAATTTATTTAAATATATTCAATATATTTAATTATTAATTGTAGAAGTGAATAAGTGTTTTACATTTTCATATTCATACATTTAAATTTATAAATATTTAAAATAACATTTTTCATACTAAATATGTATAAACCGCAGAAAATTTTTGGTTACCAACTTCATTTTTGAAACGTAATGCCTTTTTTGACATTTCATAAAAGTAAAGAACACTTAAGGCATTAGCTGGGCATCCACTCAAGTCAATACACCCCTTCCACACAAGCACATATATTTATAACACAGCGAGAGGTCAATGTTTCAACTGCCGCAGCATCGGGTTCATTTATAAGCTATATATGTTAGCGCACTCACTTTTGACGTGTGTCATCACGCTAAGTTTACATGCATTCCATGGACATGAGAGCGGCTGTTTTTGAGCTTTCATAACAAGGCTTCTAATAAGCCTACTTAATTTTAACTATGCAAGATGAGCTTATCCTCGCGAGATATATAAAATATGAAGTGCGTGCGAAAAAAAGTAGGATAATTAAAGTTCCTGTGAAATTCATAATACGTTAAGTCGTCTGCGAATTTGATAATATTCTTTTAGGGGTTCAAGCAAGATAATTTTTTTTTAGTTTACTCTTTGACAAACAAGATAAACTACTTCTCTAGAAGCATTTTTTTTAAACATCTCTAGAAAAATTTATTTTGCTACCATAAGTAGTATATTAAAATTTTTTTAATATAATAATAGGAATTATTTCAAAGTATATTGCGCGTCAAATAAATGAAAATAAAATAAAATTATTTATAAAATGAGTATTTTCATAATTATTATTATAGTTTAAAAAATATTTTCAATATTTCACCTTTGTTCACATTCAGCTCGCAAATTATTTAAACTTATAAATATTGATAAAATGTTTTTAAATTCAACAAAAGCGATATGAGAATTTATTAGCTATATTTTACAATTTATTCGATGTATTATTTTAATGCTTGTAGTGCGATAAAACGTAAAGTGAATAAAGAAGGTTAACAAATTTAAATATACGGATGTGACAAATATTCTAGTTGAGAAACATTTCCAAAATATCTGAATATATTTTAGTCAATTTTTTATTTCATCTTCACTTAAGACATAAAATAACGAATTGACTAAAAGATTATTAATAATCTGTAGCTGTACTATATTAAACGTACAATTCACTTATAATAATAAAAGGATCATAAATAATACTGAGTGACATCTACGTTTTCACCATACATAGGTTTTCATAACGGCAGGTAGATGTGTGTATACAGTGAGAAAATAACAAATATAAATGATACATCGTTATAAGCTCAACAGAATTAAATTATTTATATTTAGAGGGCCAAAAGGACAAGGAAGTAAGTTCGATTAGCACAAAAAATTTGTATTGGCGCGGCTCGCGCAGGGGAAGTCATTAATAATTTTTACGGACCACATCATACATACATCTGATGCACATACGGGCTACATCAAAATTTATTTTTATTTCAATATACAATTATATTTCTATTTAACAATTATGTTTCTATTTAACAATTATATTTCTATTTAACAATTAAATTTCTATTTAACAATTATATTTCTATTTAACAATTATATTTCTATTTAACAATTATATTTCTAATTCACAATTATAATTTATTATTAAATTTGTATCATATTTATTATTCTGCTAATTAATTTCATTTAATTTATAATAATAACTAGCTATATTATAATCTCAATTAGATTTAAGATACAAAACTAAAATTTTGTCACACAAAAAGTATTATAGCTATTAATAAAATTTTGAAAATATAAATTGTGACATAATAAATAAAATAAAAAAGGAAAAAGTTGCTGAGCAAGTTTTTTGCATACATTTTTGAAATTCAACATATATTTAAAAATTAAATTTGTACTCGATATTAACGCATGCGTGTACAATAATAGTATAAAAATATCAAATATATAATATATTTTTCAGATACCCGTTTACTCTTTTTATGAGTAAAAAAGCAATAATTTATTAATACGCAGACTTATATTCAAAAACATTTAATTGTAAAATTTGGCAATATTTAATTAAAATAATATTAATATTAATCTTCTTTCAAATTAACATATTTTTTAATAGGTTTTAACAGATATTGATATCTTATTATTCAATTCGACTAGTATTGAATTAAATTTTATATCACTCCAAAATAAATATTTTATTTACATTTAATATAATAATATTTTAATTTACATGTAGCTAATCTTTTTGTATATAATAAGTGGTTCGATGAATTTTTTTGTGTATTCATAAGAGTCATAGTCTATTATTATTTTAATAATTATGTCACAACCTATATTTTCGTAAAGAATATAAATTGGGATTTATAATCTAATTAAAGACTTCACGCCCAACAAATCATTAAATTACCATAATTTTAACATAATTTTATCATAATTTTGATAACCTATCATTCAAAGCAAATTAAAAGTGAGTGATTTTAGAAAATAGATACCAGAATGTTGAGCAATATAATACGATATTTATGCCGATTAAAACAAAACAATAACAATTGCAAAGCTTATGCAAGCAAAAAACTAGAAAATCTATATGAATAGTAAAGAGAGGAAAAACGAAAGCTGAAAGTAATACCGAGGCGGCTTTTCAAGAAAGCGCAGCCATGAAATTATCGGCTAAGATGTGCTCCGAGAACTATTTAAGCTCCTTGTCGTCAAAGTCTACCCGCTCCAACGAAACTAAAGCCGAAGCGCAGCCAGAACTTCAACTATCAACCAGCCACGCGCAGCTCAGGTGCAGCCATAATAATGAAATTTCATATAAAAAATGATTGTATATCATATACTTTGATAAATTTTACCTCTAATGCATGATAAATTTAATAAAAATGCAATATGTACTAGAAATGACGAAAATTTTTTTTTTTTTAATAATACAAAATCATATAATTCATATAATTAAAGTTTGTCGAATTCATATAATTAAGTTAAAAATTTGTCGAACTTATTATTCTGAAATAATATTCAGATATAAACTGTCATTCTTTTGTACATGAACAAATTTTTTTTATATAATAAATCAAAATTAGAAAGAACTATGCTTGAATTATTTTAATGCCTTTAATATTTATTTATATAAATATATAAATGATATAGTAACAAATAATGTTGAATTTCTTAATTTTACAAATATTATATGATAAATTTTTGAGAAGGAACCACTAGATTAAAACATGAAATGTGAAAATAAAATTGAAGACAAATAAAAAATTATTACTAGAAAACATATCGTTTTAATGCATATTTTTAGTAATTTTAAAATAAATCAATTTCATCAATTTTGCTATGAAAGAATGTAATTTAAGGCATTGCATTTTAATGTAAATGTAATAAACTCAGTAATATTTTTGTTTTAAAATAATTAGTAGCTTAAAGAAAATAATGGTTAGATTTTTTATATTTTAAAAGGGCTTTCCATTTACATGAAAAATGAACTACTCCAAATATGCAAATGTCAAACAAGGAAAGTACTGTAAATGCATCATTTATTTTGATATTCTACTTATTTCTAAAATTATATATTTTGAGGCGGTCTTTATTTCAAACAAAAGTTTAAATGACTTTTCAAGAAATACATTTCAATAAATCTCATTATTCTAGCTAAAGGAGAAATAATATGTCTATCAATGTTTGCCTTACACAAATATGTACACTTTTTACTACTCATCTTCTTTTAAAAGTACTGGTTTCTTTTTTATTTTCTTCACTCGCTTATCACCATTGCTATGTACCTTTTTCATGTCCGATTGCAAATTATGATGCGAGTTTTTTGTTTTATGATTTACTTTGGTGCTGTCATCCGATTCATCGTCCAACATTACTGTGGTATCATCAACGAATTTTTTATTTTCTTCGGACTCTTTACTGCTACTCTCGATATCTATTGGAACGGGTTTGCGAGAAACTTTACCATGATGAGGATGTTTTACTATTTTCTGCTGGTGTTCTTTTAATATATCCACATTTATGTTTTCAGGTTTATCCAAGACCTTTTCAAGTTCTGCGATGTCATTATTTTTCTGTTCACTTGCAAGAGTGGAATTCTCATTGGTCATATCATTTTCAGTAGAAGAATCGATAACTTTTTTCTTCTGATCAATTTCATGAGCTGGCTGTTGAATCGTAATACAATATTATCCAAGATTACGATCAATCTATTTATATAGATATATTTATATTGACATCTTATGTAAATCCAAAAAGCATTTGGTTAAAATTATGCATTTTGTTCATTAATTAAAAAGAAAATTAATTATTTTGAACGTACGGTATAACAAATATTTTTCAAATCATTTAAAATCTAAATACAAAAGTATTGTCATCTAATTCTAAAATGTATTGTCATTCTTTTTGTAACATATTATTTAAGTCTTATTGTTAAAAGCAGTTAAAAATTTAAGTAAATACAAAATTACCATTATTGCTTTATGACTGGCATAATACTCTAAAATATTAATTCAATAATTGCAGCACAGGCTTTGCAGGTTATTTATCTTAATCAAAGTACTTTTTATTTCTTCATAAATAATGTATTTCGGTGTAATATTTTATAATAAATATAATATTAAGTCGTAGAAAATATTGTTAGTTACCAACCTGTGAATTTAAATGCGCGTACGAAGCTAGTCGCTTTTCAATTCTTCTTACAGCATTTAATATGGATCGCAAAAATTGTGGTATTGTTTTCGATTCGACAGCATTACATTGAACCAAAATAAATATACTCTGTTTTAAACATTAATTTTTCAAATTATTACAAAAATTAAAACTGTAATTATTTATCCTCAAAAATCATAGTTTTTTTTCTAAATATTTAATGAAAGTAAAAGATAAAAATTGAGTATGAAAATAAATTATACTCAAAACTTCACATTAATTTAGTTGAAAACAAAAAGTTTTATTTCATCGAAACGTATTTACTAAAATTATAAATCGTCATATCATAACATTATATGAAATTCACGTCTTTATAAAATAATAGAAAAAATTTATTAAATGGAATATATTAAATCTTTAATGAATAATAATTGAATTAAATGAAAATTAATTAATATTAAGTAATACGAATGTATTACTAATATTATAATAATCAAAAATTCAAGCGTAAATTTAATTTTTGGCCTTGATTTAATTTCGGTTGCTCATTACCAATTGTCAATCAATTATATCATTGTTTTAAAATAAATGAAATTATAATGAATTAAGTATATTTTAAACAATTTTTATTTTACGAACTTTACTTTCATAATTCAATCTCTCACATTTTTAAACCAGAAGGAAAAGGAATCATAAAAATCATAAATGATTAAAGATACACAAAATTATTATTCATAAAATGAATAAATATATGAGTTACATTAAATAAATTTTCACTCAAAATCTACTCACAAGAACGAGGAAAACTTTGGTAAATTTTCCAAAGCCTGCCATGTTTACAACGAATCAATGCAACTGAGTTGCAAAGCCTTTTCTAAGACTTAATATACTGGGTTCATTTATTGCAGAACATTAAAATTTAATGAAAACATGGATTGAACAATTTCATTTCCGATATAAAATAGGATTATTAATTGGTAAATTGTAAAACGAAAATTAAACCAAACTTCATTTACTGTAGGTTTATGTTTTGTCTTATAATAAAATTTATCGTTGATATTCAACATAATTATTTTTATTTTACGACCCTTTTTGAACAGACGATTAATTATATCGATTTTATATTTACTTATTCTTACATTAAACAATACTTCAATTTTTCATAATTTATTATTGGCACTAATAGTATTTTTAGAACATACTAATGATGATAATCACTTTAATACGTTTTTTATACGATTTTTCAAGTCTTAATATTTCTAACAATTAAAATTAGCATTACTCAGATTACTGTAATTCACTAAAAGTACTTTTTAAACCATATCTTTAATAAATTTATTAACTATGCATGATTTTTGCATTCATATTTAAATATTAATTCATTTATAATTTCATTTAAATATTTTTCAAAATATAGTAACTAATATTATACAATTTAATTTCAATTTTTAACGGATAACAAAAAATATTTGCTCGAAAATTTAATAAGAACACTAACAATATAAATAATATATAAAACTTACCAAAAATATATATGTATTAAATTATTAATGTGTAAACATAGATACATTATATTACAATAAATTATTCACAAACATTTTAATTTTTACGCTTTTTTATTGGCTTTTTTAAAAGCGGTGTAAAGATAAAGTATTGCAGATCTCTAAACGCAAAATAAACATTACAGCAATCATTTTAACTATGGAAGTATAACTATGGAAATAACTATGAACCTATTATTTTAAAATTAATTAAATTCGATACTCAAGATCATTAGTTTATTATCGCATCAGATATTTATACCCAATGATATCATCAATTTTCAATGTTACATCATTTGGGTAATCTTTTAAATATATTTTGCTTACTTATTTAAAACAAAAAGAATAATTTAAAATTAATATAATAAAAAAATTTGTTGTTCTCTATTGTTCTTAAAAATTTCTTTGAATTTATATTAATTTATATCCATTTCTTTAATCAATCAATCATCAATATTACTAATGAGCTTCCAGCATATGATTTTGTTTTGTAAACTGTAAAAAATATTCAACAAAAATCAAAATTTAAGTAATTGATAATAAAAGCCAGTTGGTGATAAATAATATTAAAAAGAAACAAAAAAAAAATTGTTAGAATCTAAAATTTCTTCATAGCGGAAACCTATTATATTTCAATATTATCAATATTAATATTTAATCAAGGGCCGAGATTATCATAAAATACATCATAAAATAGTCGAATATCAAATTTTCAATGAAAATAGCATGTAAATTTGAATATATGTATACAAAATATTGTATTAAAGAAATTTTTGTAATTTTATTATTTTTTAATAATTTCTATTTTTCTATTAAATTCTATTCAAATTGAATAATTTCGATTAAAATAAAATTTTAATAAAGTCTGTTTTTATTAGCATCTAATATTTTCAGCTAAAAAATATATATTAATAAATCTACAAGAATAAAAATAACTTTCTAGTAGAACCTGCAATATTATAAAAAAACCAATAAAATTAATGTTTTAAGTATATTTAATAATTTTTAAGTATCAATATAATAAATCTTTTTTTAAATCAAAATAATTACAATTTTTAATATAATAATGATCGAGTTCATAATATTATAATTCAAAAATGCCTGAATATTAACTATTGCGAGAAACTAATACATTAAATTTTGGAAAATTAGAACAGAAAAAATTAAAATAAATCCATTCATACAATATGCATTATTGAATATTATATGTGTAATGAAATATTTATATATAATTTACATAGATTTATAAACGCCCTAGGAAATGATTACAGTAAATATAAATAGATTCTAATATTTCCAGTACAAAACGTAATAAAATATTTAATGATACAAATTATATTGTAAAATGTGTATATTAGTGTATGTAATTAAAATGGCACTTGCAATAAGCAAACAACGGTTAACATTTTAACGGACATTGTTTAATCGTCTGGTAGTAAAATTTATATTCATAATTAGATCAAAGGATATCTAGCTTTTAAACTATAAATTATATTTTAAAAATTAACACACACTAATTTAAATTAATAAAATACTTTAACCTAAAAATTATAAATAATGAATCAAAAAGTATAATCTTTACATGAATTTTTTAAAAAAGTGTATTTGAGAAATAGATTTTATAGTTTTTTTCTATTGATATATTAAAACAAAATAAAGACACCACAAAACAATCATATAAGAAATAATATAAAAACAAGCTTGAATTTAACTTTAACACATATATATTTGTAAAAATGAATAAATCTGTAAGAGTGGTCATGATTTTTTAAAAACATTGAAATAATGTATAAAGTACTCAGGTCCGTATAAAATTTTAAATTGCACAAATTGTATAAATTTATTATTAAATATTAATACATTATTTAAACTGCATAAAAATACCGTTTTATTTTTAAATATATAAAATACACATCTAGTAAATTAGTTGCCATGTATTAAATGTAAAAATATAGTAAAAGAAACATCTCGTAAATTAATATTTTAAAATATATTAACAGAGCACAGAATTTTTTAAAAATTATCTACTATACTATTGTATATAGTTTTTTACTCTATATTGGTATTTGCTGGTCAAAACAACACTAAACGATAATTCCCATAATAAAAACTTCATGCGCTAAAAAATCAATACGAATTAGTCGTTTGATATAATTTAAATTAAATATAATGTAATTATGCCAGTTATTCAAATAATAAAGTAAAACATTATGATTTATAAACTTACAAAGTTTTATCTATTGTTATCCTTGAAACATACCGTATACTTATAAAATTACCTATATATATTGAAAAAAGTTGTACTGAATCGGAGAAATCTATTTTGAAAATAAAATAAAATTTAATAAATAAATAATAAAGAAAATATTTACTCCAATATTTAATTTATAGATCCTTTCGTATTATTGATTCATATATGTACGCAATTTCCTTGCGTAAAAAAGAAATAAAATTTTTTTTCGGTTAGAAATAATTTAAGCATAAATAATTTATGCATACAAACGATAATGAAAGATGGAAAAAATGTGCATATACTAGTAAATAAAATATCGAAGTTAAATAAAAGAAAGAGAAACCACATCTAATAATGGATATATTTACAATGCAAACGTACAAAACTGCATCTCTCGTCTACTGTTTACATGGGAATTTTACTTCAAACTTTTCATCATGTTGAAATAAATAAGAAATTATTTTTTAACGATCGATCAAAACATTTTACTTAATTAAATCATTATAATCATAGAAAGATATAAGCAAACAGTAATTATGTAGTGCTTTTTGAATTTTTACTATTCAAATAATAGTTAATCAGATTAAAACATATTAAAAACTTATGTCTCTTGTTATTCGTTCATAATAAGATACTGAAATACAGATAAGATCAATATTACGCGGGAACAATGGAACAAAGAAAGAGTAACTTATTTCCAAGTCTTTATCACGCAAAAACAGCAAAATTGTCACGCATCTGTGTGTAGATAATATAAAGATAACAAGATAATAGCAATGGAAGATTACTCGACATTGTGAATTATTATATTATTAATATTCAATCTTTGTCATCTTTTTGTAATAATGGTAGTTTCATTAAACGATATTCAAAACAAAAAGTTTATTTCAAGTGAAACTATTAATACTATTTGATTACCAAGTAATCATTTGAACATTCACTCAAATAAAATGCAGATAAATAAAAGCCATAACCATAAAACTCTTATTAAAATTAAATTAAAATACTTTAGCTTTTCGCAAAGTTATGTAGAAGTCGTGGGAAAATGAATATCGTATTCTGCTTACGTACAGATCAATAAACTTCTATAAAGAATCACTTTAAGTAAATTTGAAAATATCACATCGTAGAATATATTGTTTTTATTGAAAATAAATAATGCAACTAGTAATTATATTATTAGGATTATTAGGATAGTAATCATAGTATTAGGATTATAAATTATGAGTAAAAAATTTATGTTTAAATCAATATTTAAATTTAATATGTAGGTAAAATTTATAAAATTCTATGAAATAAAATATTATAAGCCACTGTATATAAAAAATACACTATTTGTCTATTTAAACATTTACATTCATAAAAATGAAAATACATTTTACAATTCAACAATTACTAGTAAAATCCCTATATTTCTATGATAACATATAAATGGACATTATTGGATGGTATAAATAAAATTTGCTACGACGATAAATAGTAGTTACAAAGACTCAAAGTATTTTAGGATATTCGGGGGTTTGTGCGTGTACGTGTACGGTACAAGTTCAGATAAAAAGAAAAAGTAAGGAAAGAGAAAGAGAACAGACCTCCTCTCTGTAGAACCGTGCTACCCTGCCATAACTCATTTGGATAAACACACTCTCGCCTCATTGACTCGTTTAGGGATTCTCAACTCAAGGCGACTTGAATCTCCCATCTTTCACTATTTGAGAATTTCTTCATTGAGTAATTGATTAGAATTGAAGAGTAAGCCACTCTAGATACTGTGCAAGTGCTTGAAACTTCAACCACTTCATTATTTCAAGGATAAACTTCCAGACTATCAAAACTATGCTGATACACTTGTTGATAATTGACACGAACTTCGATTTTTTCAAGTTGTCTTGTAACATTTCTTTTTCTGTTTCACTTCTTATTAATATTGCTGATATTTTAGAGCTTTCAAATACTGAAGTACATATAATGATAAATATAATAATAATAATTGAAATAATAACGATCAATATACAAGAAAATTGAACAATTGATTCTATACAATTCTAATTTCACGTTGAATAATAAACATATAGAATAAAATGAAATAAGCTTAATGCTGGCG